ACACTTGTCTTTGTACTCCTCACCTGGTTGCCGCCACACACACTTGACACCATCTGAACCAAATAAGTTTATCTTGGTCTCATCAGACCACAGGACATGGTTCCAGTAATCCATGTCCTTAGTCTGCTTGGCATTCTTGTGCATCATCTTTAGAAGAGGCTTCCTTCTGGGACGACAGCCATGAAGACCAATTTGATGCAGTGTGCAGCATATGGTCCGAACACTGACAGGCTGCCCCCCCACCCCTTCAACCTCTGCAGCAATGCTGGCAGCACTCATACGTCTATTTCCCCAAACACAACCTCTGGATATGTGCACTCAACTTCTTTGGTCGACCATGGCGAGGCCTGTTCTGAGTGGAGCCTGTCCTGTTAAACCACTGTATGAACTTGGCCACCGTGCTGCAGCTCAGTTTCAGGGTCTTGGTAATCTTCTTATAGCCTACGCCATCTTTACGTAGAGCAACAATTATTTTTTTCAGATCCTCAGAGTTCTTTGCAATAAGGTGCCATGTTGAACTTCCAGTGACCAGTATGAGAGAGTGAGAGTGATAACACCAAATATAACACACCTGCTCCCCATTCACACCTGAGACCTTGTAACACTGAGTCACATGACACCGGGGAGAGAAAATGGCTAATTGGGCCCAATTTGGACATTTTTATTTAGGGGTGTACTCACTTTTGTGGCCAGCGGTTTAGACATTAATGGCTGTGTGTTGAGTTATTTTGAGGGGACAGCAAATTTACACTGTTATACAAGTTGTACACTCACTACATTACGTTGTAGCAACGTGTCATTTCTTCACTGTTGTCACATGAAAAGATATAATAAAATTTACAAAAATGTGAGGGGTGTACTCACTTCTGTGAGATACTGTGTGTATACAGTCGTGTGAAAGGTTTTGCCCCCTTCCTGTTTTTTTAAATTGCTTGCATATTTGTCACACTTAAGATTGAGAGCATCAAACAAATTTTAATATTACACAAAGATAACCTGAGTAAATGCAAACTGCAGTTTTGAAATTATGATTTCATTTATTAAGGGAAAAAAGCTGTCCAAACCTGCCTAGCACTACGTGAAAAAGTAATTGCCCCCTAAATCTAATAACTGGTTGTGCCACCCTTTGCAGCAACAACTGCAATCAAGCATTTGCGATAAATGGCAATGAGTCTTTCACAGGAATTTTGGCCCACTTTCCTTTGCAGAATTGTTTTCATTCAGCCACATTGGAGGGTTTTTGAGCATGAATGGACTGTTTAAGGTCATGCCACAGCATCTCAATTGGATTTAAGTCTGGACTTTGATTTGGCCACTCCAAAACCTTAATTTTGTTTTTCTTGAGCCATTCAAAGGACGACTTGCTGGCGTGTTTTGGATCATTGCCCTGCTGCATAAACCCAGTGCGCTTGAGATTGAGGTCACAAACTGACGGCCGGACATTCTCCTTCAGTATTTTCTGATAGAGAGCAGAATTCATGGTTCCATCAGTTATGGCAAGTCACCCAGGTCCTGGAGCTGCAAATCAGCCTCAGACCATCACACTACCACCACCCTGTTTGACTCTTGGTATGATGTTCTTTTTATGAAATGCTGTGTTGGTTTACGCCAGATGTAACGGGACACACACCTTCCAAAAAGTTCATTCTTTTGTCTCATCAGTCCACAGAATATTTGCCCAAAAGTCTTGGGGATAAACAAGATATTTTTGGCAAATGTGAGACAAGCCTCTGTGTTCTTTTTGGTCAGCAGTGGCTTTTGCCTTGGAACTCTCCCATGGATGCCGTTTTTGCCCAGTCTCTTTCTTATTGTTGAATCATGAACACTGACCTTAATTGAGGCAAGTGAGGCCTGCAGTTCTTTAGATGTTGTTCTGGGGTCTTTTATGACCTCCTGGATGAGTCGTCGTTGTGCTCTTGGAGTAATTTTGGTTGGCCGGCCACTCCTGGGAAGGTTCACCACTGTTCCAAGTTTTCGCCATTTGTGGACAATGGCTCTGACCGTGGTTCGCTGGAGTCCCAAAGCCTTAGAAATGGCTTCATAACCCTTTCCAGACTGATACATGTCAACTATTTTGTTTCTCATCTGTTCTTGAATTTCTTTAGATCGCGGCATGATGTGTTGCTCTTTAAGCATGCTTTACTTTGTCAGACAGGTCCTATTTAAGTGATTTCTTGATTCAACAGGTCTGGCAGTAATCAGGCCTGCGTGTGGCTAGTGAAATTGAACTCCGCTTTCTAAAATGATGTGGTTAATCACAGTTCTTTCATGATTTAACAGGAGGGGGCAATTAATTTTTCAAGTAGGGCCAGGAAGGTTTGGACAGCTTTTTTCCCTTAATGAAATTATCATTTAAAAACTGCATTTTGTATTTACTTGCATTATCTTCGCGTAATATTAAAATTGGTTTGATTATCTGAATATTTTACGTGACAAATATGCAAAAAATAAAACAAAGGGGGCAAAAACCTTTTCACGGCACTGTGTGTGTGTGTGTGTGTATATATAGATATAGAGAGAGAGATATAGATATATAGAGAGAGAGAGCGAGATAGAGAGAGAGATTTTGAAAAGGTTGAATTTTTTTAGTTTATCTAAAGGGATTTTGTAAGATTGTGTTTCTTATTTATTTGGTTCCACAGTGTTTGTTGATTTTTACTGTATTTATAATTTTACGTGACAAATATGCAAAAAATAAAACAGAAAGGGGGCAAAAACCTTTTCACGGCACTGTGTGTGTGTGTGTGTGTGTGTGTATATAGATATAGAGAGAGAGATATAGATATATAGAGAGAGAGAGCGAGATAGAGAGATTTTGAAAAGGTTGAATTTTTTTAGTTTATCTAAAGGGATTTTGTAAGATTGTGTTTCTTATTTATTTGGTTCCACAGTGTTTGTTGATTTTTACTGTATTTATAGGGTTAGTTCATCCTAAAATGAAAATTCTGTCATTAATTACTCACCCTCATGTCGTTCCAAACCCGTAAGACCTTCGTTCATCTTCGGAACACAAATTAAGATTTTTTGATGAAATGTGAGAGCTCTCAGATCCTGCATAGACAGCAATGCATCTGTAATGTTCCCAGGTCCAGAAACGTAGCAAGGACATCGGTAAAACTGTCCATGTGACATCAGTGGCTCAAATTCAGTTTGTGTGTGTGTGTATATATAGATATAGAGAGAGAGATATAGATATATAGAGAGAGAGAGCGAGATAGAGAGAGAGATTTTGAAAAGGTTGAATTTTTTTAGTTTATCTAAAGGGATTTTGTAAGATTGTGTTTCTTATTTATTTGGTTCCACAGTGTTTGTTGATTTTTACTGTATTTATAGGGTTAGTTCATCCTAAAATGAAAATTCTGTCATTAATTACTCACCCTCATGTCGTTCCAAACCCGTAAGACCTTCGTTCATCTTCGGAACACAAATTAAGATTTTTTGATGAAATGTGAGAGCTCTCAGATCCTGCATAGACAGCAATGCATCTGTAATGTTCCCAGGTCCAGAAACGTAGCAAGGACATCGGTAAAACTGTCCATGTGACATCAGTGGCTCAAATTCAGTTTTGCAAAGCTACAAGAATACTTTGAGCACAAAGAAAACAAATAATTAATTTAACAATTCTTCTCCCCCGAGTTAAGTCTTCCGCCATTTTGGAGAGTACCCAAGAGCGTAATCGACGTAATCAGCGTTGTTTACGCTTAGGGGAACGCTTGCATATGCATTGATACCATCTAAAACAAACTATTATTTATTTTATATTAGGCCTATAGCATGGTGTATTTTTAACAAAAGTTCATGTTTAATATAAGTGAGTTTATCGTTGTACCGTTTTGTTGTTTTCCATTCAAGCAATTGACGCCAAATTGCCATTAATTCAAAAGTGAAAGTAAAATGTGCACAAGTATTTATAAGATAATTAAAAGTAGAGGAAAGCAACGAAAAGAGGGAAAACCCCAAATGAACCCCACCCCCCGTTGATACCGGTATTTCCGGTGTTGTCACAAGTTGATTAACCAGTGAAAAAATTCTCACCATCATAACCCTGTATGATAGAGCTCCTTATTCTGAAAATTTTTGTCTCAACCCCTACCGTCAACCAGATCGTCTGTTAAATATTTGAGATTGTGAAAAACCTACTTTTGCAAACTAGTCATAGGTTTTTTTGCCCAACCTTACAAAACCCACTGCAATACAATTCTCTGGACTCTCAAGATCAATAATTATCCAAAAATTATTAACTTCACACTTTGGTTTGCTATAATTTTTACAAGATGTTGCTAAATATACCCAAAAGCCTGTAATTCCTGAACGAAAACTCAGAACTTCACAAAATTAAGTGAGCATACTCAGCATATGATTCTAAAGAATAGTACCAACTTTTACTACAGGTGGTACTATAACAGCCATAAATATTTAAAAAAATGACATATTCTTATGTTAACTTACCTGGAATTGACAATTTTTTCAATCAATTTACTTGGTTACAGGCTTGCTAAATAATACGTACATGTCTAGTGTCTAAAAATACGTAGACAAAAACACACACAAAAAAACTCCTTGGCAAACCATTGTATAGTAGTGTTTTTGCCATAACAAAGAATGGTTTGTTTTGAGTACCTTATTGAGCTGGGTGGATGGGATGTTGGTATGGGCTCCAAAGCCGAAATAAGAGGACTGAGGGGGGCTGGGAGGATAGTTGAAAGGAGACCCTGCATCACTGAAGCTTGTGTGCCTGGAGTGCTTGAGAGACAGACAATTACGATTTCACACGTGTCCAATCTTGGAACAGAACTCTTCTGGTAGTGCACGTGGAGGGAGGTGAAAACCGTACCTGCAAGCCGTAGCTGGGAAGTGCTACATTTTCCAGAACCTCCTGCTGCTCGTACAAATGAGACAAGGGGTCCTGCGGATGGAGTAAAAAAACAAACAAACAGACAAATCTAGTTAGAAAGGGTGAGGCAGTCACACATTCAGTGAAGCTGCTTTTAACACATGAGCCGACCTGGTGCAGAGGAAACTCTGATGTGCAAGACTCCTGGAAGTGCTGGCTGTAGTTCGAGTGGATGCTGTGGTTTGCACGTTGGTTAGACGTGTTGCCAAGCGCTGTTCTCTTCCTGTAGGGGTGAGCTCTTGTGCTGGAACCTAAATAAACGTAATGCTTTAGGAAACGCAACAAGATAAAAAATAAAAAAGTAAAGGTGCATAAGACATCGCGGGTAGACTGACCTGAAGATGCGAATAAGCTAGAAGCACTGAGAAAAGGGTTCTGGGATACACCAACTTCTTTGGGAGGTTCGCCCAATATAGATGCCTTCAGGAAAAAGAGAGGATCTGAATATACAAACCTGCTTTAGATACTATTTGGCAACACACTGAAGACTAACGGGACCAAACAACAGCTCATGCCGAGCTAAAAGCAAATTGCAGCAATTTCAAAGCATTCCTCTGGAAGATCATGGCAGTAAATGTAGGCTGTGTGACAATAAGTGTGCACAAACAGGAGCAGCCATTTGTATCCATCTCACCCCTGGTAGAGTCGGCCCATCTGTTCCGAACATCCCACTCAGGAGGGGCAAATTCAGTCCCTGCAGTGCAGGGGAGGCTGCTGGGGCAAAGCCGATCGTGGCAGCTGGGGTCTCGTTCTCTCTCCCAAGAGGTCGGCTGAGGGATGGTTGTTTGATGGGGCCAAGAGTTTCACTCTGTAAGCCTAGTGTTGAAGCAATAGTGCCTGAATGAAATTAAATTTAGAACTGCACATTAAACACTAGAGCCAGTGAATCTCCATTATTTTCCCCAGTTAATTACAGGGCTCCAGACTGCAACCATTTTTTCTGCCGGTGCGACTAATTTTTGGGAGTGGTCACACTGGCGCGACCACCGCGTTGTCCAACTCATAAGCGCTGCCATTTCTGTTGCATTTGAGAAACAGCAAACGAAATGAAAGTGAAACTAAACAGCTGCGCAGCTCTGACAGCGGCACAAACAAACTTGTCAGAGCTCAAAACAGCTTTACTCAGGAGCCAAAGTTGATTTCGCGACACTGTTACTACACAGAAGCAACAGTGCTGCAGGCAGTGTTGCCAACTTAGCAATTTTGTTGCTAGATTTAGCAACTTTTCAGACTACCGTAGCAATTTTATTATTTTTTTTAAAGCACCTAGCAACAAATTTAGCTATTTTTAAGAAGTTTTTGGTAACTTTCAGCAACTTTTGTAAAGTGACTCAAATGATAAAGGCACATGTTTTCATCTAAATGACACAAAAAGAGGAAAGCATTGAACAGCTAGCCAGCCAAGCAGCACATCAACCTGGAGAGAGCTAGAGAAAGATGCCTAATTGTACAAACATCAAATGTGCAAATGTGTTTAAGTTGCAATTGGTCAATAATAAATACACTTTTATGATACAGTATGTTATTAGATTGTACCGGTATATATATATATATATATATATAATTGTTGTTCAGTTAGGTACACTGTAAGAAAAATTTGGAAAAACTGAAAAGGTACTGGTCATTTTCTGCCAGGATGTTTTCCATTAAGTTGTAACCCTGTAACCTTAAAACACAATGCAACGTGGAATTTAAAACCGGTAAAACACCTATGAAAAATAAATATTGTTCCTTCATATAAACAGTACATTGTGTCCTATTTTTACAGACTTTTGTGTAGCACACTATAACTACCAGTACACTGCTTAAAACTATAATTGTTCAGAATGTGCAGTTCTACTAGTTAATACATAATAGAAAATACATCAAATGTGTAACTGTTCAATAATTCAATGTTGTAAAAAATCAGATCATAAAGATGTGCTACTTATGGTACTTTTTGGTCATTTTCTGCCAGGATGTTATCCATTAAGTTGTAACCCTGTAACCTTAAAACACAATGCAACGTGGAATTTAAAACCGGTAAAACACCTATGAAAAATAAATAGTTCCTTCATATAAACAGTACATTGTGTCCTATTTTTACAGACTTTTGTGTAGCACACTATAACTACCAGTACACTGCTTAAAACTATAATTGTTCAGAATGTGCAGTTCTACTAGTTAATACATAATAGAAAATACATCAAATGTGTAACTGTTCAATAATTCAATGTTGTAAAAAATCAGATCATAAAGATGTGCTACTTATGGTACTTTTACAAATTAAAATTTTATGGTTTATAATATTTTTATGAACAAATAACATTTAAAAAAAAAATTTGCTGAGATTTGAGTAATCGCGTTGTGTATTCTACGTAAAAACACAGTTTTGTGTCATGGTTATGCAATGACATCACAACGTCATTTAGCAACAAATCGATCTGCCTTTAGCAACTTCCCCTGAAAATTGAATTATAACACTATAATGGATCCAGTGAGACGCGTTTGAATTCGCCGCACAATGATAAGGTTGCTGCGAGATCTAGTGAGAATTAGAGCCCGACCGATATATCGTTTTGCTGATATATCGTTTTGCCGATATTATCGGTCGATATGTGCCTGTCGCGATATATCGGTATCGGCGAATATGCCGTTGATATTAAATTTTTTTTTACAGAGCATATAATGCAGATAAAATGCTTGAAATTGTGTAATTACTTAGTTTGTCCAGCAGAGCGCGCTCCATTGTTTGCTACTGGCGACCTGGATGAAACGCTTTAAAGTTTAAGTCACTGGAAAACCATTGAAACAACTAACACCCCCTTACTTTGCATCGCACTCATCGCAAGTTTATTGTTAAATGCCCTTACATATCTCCGTCACCATTATAAGTGTTTGATCACCACATTTGAGTGATCATTGCAAACAATGTGTTTTTGTATATATATATATTCTGTTTATGTATATACTGTATTCTATATATAGTACCAGTCAAATGTTTGGACACACGAATGGGAAAGTGTCCAAACTTTTGACTGGTACTGTACTATAATATGCACAAAGAATATCTGCCTTTTTTTAACTCCCTAATATCGGTATCGGCCACAAAAAACCCATATCGGTCAGGCTCTAGTGAGAATCATTCAAATTCTGCACAGAATTCTGTTATAAACAGCGCTGACATACGCCAGGAAACCAGAAGCGGTAACGCTAACTGCAACCATGGTGTTGTGGTAGAAATAGTCGAATGCATTACACCATTCATTTCAGGGATTGTACAACCTTTTGATAGAGAAATTCAAGCACTTTTCTGACATTCAAGCATTCACAACAACTATTTCCAGCACTTTAAAGTGCTAAAATTATCCAGTTTGAATGTTATTTTTAATGGGATGACCAAACTATACTTTGTGGTAAACAAACACTTATAATTGTGATGTGTATTTTTACTTTTTTACATAACTAGTATACTGCAGCAGAAGAGCACTACTGGCTTATTAGTCATTCATTTATACTTTTTCTCTATATTTTGAAATGATAAAATCACTATTATAAAATATAAAATCAGTATTTTGATACTCCCGCACATCACCCCCAGCGCTACCGAATCTGTTCTTAGCGCCACCATCTGTAGAACTTAGTGGCGCTGGTACCACTGCTCTCAAATGTTCGTCTGGAGCCCTGAATTATGAACGGTGGACAAGCAATTTAAAAAACAGATTGTTGTGCTAGACCTCCATTTGTAATTCATTTGACTTAACTTTTATAAAGAATATCTCTTTAGATTCGAGACTTTAGTCTTTGCAAATGTACAGATCTTTTTTTTTATGCACCAAGAGCTTGTAACACTCCAAAGAGAAAGGAAAAATTGAAATCGCATCATGAGACGTCTTTAAAGCCACATTAGTTTGAACTTCTGATACAGTGTTTTCTGAGCGCACACAACCAAAGCACACGCACAGAAAGCAGCCGTCATATGGCATGAGAGTACTAAACTAAGTTCTCTTCATGTCTTATTGCGCTTAAACTGTCAAATACACAAGTTTGTTAAAAACACATGAGTTACAAAAACAGTCCGTTATGTTTGTGAAGGTAAACAGCTGGGAAAGAAATTGCATACTTGTATTAGATCTGTGTGGCACCAGCGTAATATACAGTAAACAAATAAAACCACTGCTCTTTTGTCTCCTCTGAGGCTGGGACTCTAAATAGTGTTCTGTGCTTGTCTGTGCAGCTAACGATAGAACAGTTAACATGCTTTGCTCGAACTTTTGCAATGGCACTAAAACTGGTACACCGTTGTTGCGGCACCGTAAGTGGAAACGTGCAGATAAAGGGGCGGTGATATTATAATAAGATCCTTTTGCCACGTCACAAAGTGAGCGAAATCTGACGCGCTCGTTTTCTCAGACGCTTGCAGAAAAAGGCTTACCAAAACAAAGTTACTGGGTTAATCTTTTTCACGTTTCCTGGGTTGGTAGATGCACCGGGAACCCGATTATAGCAATTAAAACCCGGAAAGTCCGATTTTCATGATATGTCACCTTTAATACCACTTTTTGGAATTAATAGACATTAGGGATGCATATAATTGGATAGTAAACTGGCAGTAGTAGCAGTAGACATGTAAACTGATACTGAGACCATGTACATACTGCAAATAATTCTGCGGTCTTCACCTTTTAGTGCTTAAACCTGTTCTGCACACAACAATTCAACATTCTAAACTTGTCATTTAATGGTTAATAGTCAGCTAACTTGGGATGTAAAGGTATGAATTTCTTATCACGATTATAGTGACCAAAATGATCACAGTTATCAGTATTATCACGGTATTGTTAAAATGTGCTGGAAATGTTCAAAAAGTACTGACACACAAATCATTTCACCAAGTTTTACATTTAAAACCAACAAACAAATAAAATGAGTTTTTGTTTGCATAAAACAATAACACTACCAATGATGTTCGGATTTTAAATGACAACAGTTTATCTAATGGCATGTTCAAATATCTAATGTAAATGTTCAAATAAAGCTTTGAAAAAGTTTTGTAAATGGTAAACCTCACATTTCAGCTTTTAAATAAAGAAAAGAGTCAAGTCAAAATGATAATTGATTAATAAATATGTATTTATCTGCTCCATAAATGATACTAGATACCTTGTTTAAATGTGTAGTATCCACATAAGCTTGTTTTTCATCAACCGGCCAATTTACAGCAGGGCATGCTAATTCGGTCCGTTTTTTATGATCTACACACCTTCCCCTTTTTAAGACGAAAACAAAAGATGGATTCATTGTTATCCTTAATTAAAAAGCATAACAATAAAACAGTAAGATACAAATGACAAACTAGCTTATAAAACGTTCATTAACAAAAACGAAGACGACGAAGCAATGGCATACACCACATGCTGTATTATATACCGACTAATAAGTTACAGAAGTTTAGCAAACACTGAGGAATCAAATAAATAAAAAAGAGCCTCCATAGCATAACGTGAGGTAAACAGCAAAGGTAAGCTTTTCAAAATGAAAACAAAAAGAAAAGCAAAACTAAACTTGCTGTCGGTGACAGTGCTGGCATGTTTTTGTCCCACAAGAATACCAGCATGTTCACCTTTGGTTTAAGCAGCGGTCTTTTACTTTACTTTAGCATAAAACCCATCCATCGTTTCCTCAATATTCATGTCATTTTTCGCAGCTTCGCGCTCCTGACGCGGCGAGTATAAACCAGGCTCTACACTCAAAGAGCTGCGCAGCTCAAACGAGTCGCGCGGTTTCGTTATTCTTTCAGTTTCGTTCGCTGATTCTCACATGCAACAGAAATGCAGCGCTTATGAGTTAAACAATGCGGTGGTCATGCCAGTGCGACCTCACAAAATTTAGTCGCACCAGCAGAACAAATGATCGCAAAATGCGCCCATTTGGTTGCACACTGGAGCCCTGTGCAGTACAGTATTTATTTATCCTCCGTTGTTCAAATCGCGGTAATCGAATACGGTTATAGTGATAATTAAGATATGAAACAGTAATACTAACCATGGGGTATTTTATCACGATTTATCGTCATACCAGTAATCGTAACATCCCTACAGCCTACTAGTCAAGAAATTTTTTCTTTGCACTGCAGCCTAGTAAAATGATTGCTACCAAGCAGGGTTAAAACTTATTTTATTTCAAGTAATGAACCATTTTTAAAAATGGTTTGAGTTTATTATATTTTATTTCAAATGTTTTTCTCAGCTAGTTTCTAAGACAGTGTAACTTATGTAGTTTAAATACTAAAATAATTCAAATGAAATAAACTTTAACATACATGTACACACACATATATATATATATATTACCATGGCAACCCTGACACCAGATACATTTACGTTGAAAATTACCCCGCTCACTACACTTTCCATAGAAGAGACAATGCACAGTAAAAATTGACTCTTTAATTAATTAATTAATTAATAGGAAAACCTTTCTTTGAATGAACACACATATCCTTTAGGTCATTGTGTATGTTGTCTTTGAGATTTTATACTGTTTTATGCGGGCTTATGATGGAACCATTCATTCCTGTCATCATACACTAGTTTAAGTGTTTATGTAGTTAAAGTCTTACTTGTATCACACTTGACGTTGTTCATTGTTTGCTCATAACTGGAGTCACTTAAACATTCAGATTTATGCTACAAGCTCAGTGTAGAATTGTACAGTAAGAAAGTTATTTCCCTTAACCAGGAAATTAACGTTCTTAGAATTGACAGACAGTTGACCCTGAGAGGTCAAGTAAATATCTACAGCGGATCTAAATAATCGTAATTATAACTAGTTATGATTAATTATTCATATTTCCCCATGAGCTGATTCGCTACAGACACATATATATGCGTGTATGTGTGTGTGTATATATATATATATAAAAAAAAAAAAAAAACATTAAACCAAGCAAAATTTAAATGCAAACTAATAACATGTAAATAAAAATGTTAACAAAAACTATAATTGTATATCATTGACAAAAAAACATTACCAAATAAATCTCCCCCAAAAATGTGAAGACAAACTCAGACGATTCCAAAAATGTAGCATCCGTGACATTTTCAAATGACTGTGGAACAAACAAAATGTTACAAATGTGTGGTACCTTGAGACATCTCTCCCAACATATTAATGCATTGTTGGAGAGGAAGAGCAGCCAGAGGATTTTCACTCAACAGTCCAGCCTGTGGAAAGACAGAACTGCATTAGTTTTACACACACACACACACACACACACACACGGTAGGTTAAACACTCACCAGCATAGTCACGATACGATACATATCACGATACAGAGGCCACGATACAAGATTGCACTGAATTTCACCCCAGCAGAATTTAGAAAAACAGCTGTTTATTAAACACTGCTTACTATAGTGCCATTTTTAACTATGGGTAGAGCAGCAGCTGACCTCTGCATTATGAAGGGCCTCCATAACTGTACCACAGTACAATATAGGTAATGGCATGTGGTTCATGTTTACATTGTGCACTCCCAACCAGGTACAATATTCTGATTGTTTGCATCTTGTTTTTAAGCCCATAAATAATAATGTACTCGTTCTAATAAGTTTATATTGTAATGTACTCATTCTAATATATATTTTAAAAAATCACTTACATTGCTGGTAGGTTATCATTACACAAATTAACGCACTACTTAAAAAAAAAAATAAATAAATTTAGTTCTAATCTAAACTAATGCGCCGTCTTCACTATCTAACGCACACATATGCTCAGTCACTCACACAGATCATGCTGCGCGTGCACAAACATCCAGGAACAAACTTTTTAGCGCTGCCCCGCAATTTTATCAATAAAATTGCTTAATCGCTGAAGAGCTACATTATCTTTCTCAACAAGGAGCTGGTAACATCATTGTTTCTAAAGCAATTAAAGCCACAGCTTCACTGTTAATAGAGAAAAGTAGCAAAACGGTGGTAATTCATACATACACAGCCTCTCTCTCATATAAATTAACACTTGATAAATTACACTTCTCTGATAATAGGATATTGAAGTGGAGATCGCTAAACTGCAAGTTTACCAGTTTTATCAGAAAGCAAGCACGTTTATCCACAGTGGAGAGAGAGAGCATGCACATGGTTGCCAGGTTGACAAAGTAGCACACTTAGCAGATATTTCCATATTGCGCAAGTGGGAAGCTCCGTTTCGGGGATTACATCTCTTTATATCAGGCAACCCAGTTGTGTTCCTCTGCGGCCAGATTAAACCTTTAGACACCTGGCACTTTTCTACTTAATTTTTAACAGTGTTATTGTATTCAAATTAAGCGCGGTCCACTGCTGCACACGTGCCAGGGCCAGCTGTATCAATACTCATATCGTCGTATCTCTGTGACAATACATAAAATGTATCGAACACAGCACTAATACACACACACACACACAATCCTTCAGAATGACATTTTTGTCAATTACATCTAAATTTAAGAAGGATGTACACAGCACACGAAGGCAAAAAAACGCTTGATACAATACATAAAATGTATCGAACACAGCACTAATACACACACACACACACACACACAATCCTTCAGAATGACATTTTTGTCAATTACATCTAAATTTAAGAAGGATGTACACAGCACACGAAGGCAAAAAAACGCTTGATGAACATTCTGGCCGATACTTGAACAGAAGTAGGTAAAGGGGTTATACCAACTTTTTACTTGCACTAAAAGCATTGATCTGCGGTGGAAGAATAATTGAACAGCTAGATGTTTGAACTAATTTGGTAAAATATCAGTTAACAATTCTTCATTTGGGGGGAAAAAAGAAAAGCTAAGCACACAAGCACCTCACACAAGGGAGCCACTCACACAAGGGAGAACACTGTAGTCTTTGTGCAGAATATGTGCCCAAAGAAGAGGATTCCCTAAAAGAGCTTGCTGGGAGGGGAGAAGAAGAGAGTGAGGGCTAAAACACATGCTGCTGGGACAGTGGCAGGAGATGAGGAGTGGATGGAGGGATGGACCTGATACCTGTTGGACTTGGTTCTGGAGCAGCAGCTGCATGAGGGCAGCAGAGAGGGCAGGGTTAGCCAGCAGAGGTATAGCGGGTGCAGCTCCCAGCAGGCCTGCATATTGAGAGAAGAGTGACAAATCTACTGCCATCTTAAAAAAAAACAAAAACAAAAAAAGGCCTACAGAAGAAATCCGATGAGCATAAGTACCTTGTTTATGCCCCGGGTTGAAAGATGCCAGCAGCATCTTCAGTGTGGCAGGGTTATTGAGGCCAGTTAGGATCTGCATGGCATTGGGTTCAGGAAGGAGACCTTTCCCTCTGTTCAAGGCCTGAAGAGGCAAAGGATGAAATTTATACAAAACTGAGTTACATTTTAAGGTGTCCTTGTTGCAGTGTAATTATACATTTAAGTACCAAGTAGTATTAATTATCTACATGCACTTACTCAGTGTTTCCCATTCATTAACTAGACTGGCGGTTCTTTAACGTTGCGTTTCACGCCATTGCTTTGGCAAGTATCGGTCAAACGAATTCAAACCGAAAGCGTAATATGACTTATCAAGTCTGTTTGCGCTGCTCGTTTCAAAGTGAAGCGCGCACATTGTGCAGACCACATGATCGGCTCGCGATCCGGTGTTTTCCGCATCTCAGTTCACAGTGAATGCAGTGAACTCCGTTATTGAATGTGCTGTGAGTTTAGCGCGTTTGGGAACGCAACGGTCACCAGTTATGCATAATTTGCAATATTTTAATGAGCAAATGTTTACAGTATTTCATTAAATTAATAAGGTTTGTAAACCTGTTTTCACAGAAACTGGAGTTTTCCGCCAAAATAAAAGCTCAAGGGTTTATCTCTTGCAAGCATGGCCTAAAATTAACAGACATGCACAGAAAATACTGTACAGGTACAGCAAGCTCACCGTTCAGAAGAAAAATATAAATATTGGGGTTTATATGAATGTATTTCTGAAGGGAACGGACTTCACAAAAGTTTCGATGGCATTTTTTCCCCTCTTATCATTGCTGATCCATAACCACCACCTGCTGTCAGGGAGGGAAATTGCATTCTCATTCAGCCTGTCTGTTTTGGTTTCATCTTTGTATCTTTGTTTGTATCGTGATTAAAATGCAGTGGTTGGTTCTAATTTCAAATGGCTTTTTTTTATTAAATAGGTTTAGTTGTTGTAGTAGTAGCAACTGCTCGTTTTTTGCAAAAACTGTTTAATGGCAAGGAAAAATATTTATGGCCGGTCAATTTTCTGAAGTCATTAGCCACTGGCAGATGTGAAAGTTAGTTTTAGGCCCTGCTTGCAAGTGTAGAAATGAGGACAAAAGTATTGCAATTTCCCTACAGTAGAGTAAGGTAAAATAATATACCTGAAAAAAATTATAATAATAATTCATTTATTTCACAGTGCAATTGTTTTACAATATATGGCTATAACTGTCATAGGAATAATAATATAAAATCATTATTGTTTTATTCTAATTTGTCTGGCTTCCAAATTCACCAGTGAGACACTATATCACAACTAAAAAGAGGGTTGAGTCTCCTTTAAATTTCAAGAACAAGTACATTCACCAGCTTTTTTCCTTTACTTTGCACACTGAACCAGTGTTGGAGCTCTTAATTTTGAACTCTCAAAGTGCACCAGATTTATGAATTTAACTTTAAAATGTACAATTTTTACGGGGTGGCATGCCCCTGGACCCCCCTAGAGGGATCGAGGACCACCCACCACAGTCTCACAAAATCCTGTGGGAAACACTGTTACTATATGGTTAGGGTTTGGCTTAGGGGTACTTGCATGTAATTATGCATAATTAATTGTTATTATAATAGTAAGAACATGTAACATGTGCAACAAGGACACCTTAAAGGGTTACTTCACCCCAAAATGAAAATTGTCATTAATCACTTACCCCCATGTTGTTCCAAACCCCTATAAAAAAAAAAATAAAAAAAAAAGTTTCGTTCGTCTTTGGGACACAATTTAAAATATTTTAGATGAAAACTGGGAGGCTTGTGACTGTCCCATTGACTGCCTAGTAAATTACACTCTCAAGGCCCAGAAAAGTATGAAAGACATCGTCAGAATAGTCCATCTGCCATCAGTGGTTCAACCGTAACGTTATGAAGCGACGAGAATACGTTTTGTATGCGAAGAAAACAAAAATAACAACTTTATTCAACAATTCGTCTCCTCTGTGTCTCTCCGCATCACCGTAGCGCCATTTTGGAGAATATCCGCTGAACACAAACTGCGTACTCTATTCTGTGTCAGCCACGACACAAGGATACGTTTTCTATGCGTATTTATGCTTTGATTTGAACGAAAACAGCGCATCCGTGCAGTGCGGCTGACACATGCTTGCGTTCAGCAGATATTCTCCAAAATGGCGCTACGGTGATGCTGAGAGACACAGAGGAGACGAATTATTGAATAAAGTTGTTATTTTTGTTTTCTTCGCGTACAAAAAGTATTCTCGTCTCTTCATAACGTTATGGTTGAACCACTGATGGCAGATGGACTATTCTGACGATGTCTTTCATACTTTTCTGGGCCTTGACAGTGTAATTTACTTGGCAGTCAATGGGACAGTGACAAGCCTCCCGGGTTTCTTCCAAAATAATTTAAATTGTGTTCCGAAGACGAACAAAGCTTTTACGGGTTTGGAACGATATGGAGGTAAGTGATTAATGACCAAATTTTCATTTTGGGGTGGAGTAACCCTTTAAAATAAAGTGTTACCCAAAACGGTAAAACCACAATCACATTACCATTTAATTTTGATTTAAGGATCTACTTAGACATTACAAAACATAGGTTTTTTATTTTGGTAATTTTTAAAACCCTTTTAAAAAAGGCGTGACAATTTGCATATTGCAATACATCAATCAATCACAAAGTCTTCAAAAAGGCCATGTCATTGAATATTGCCAGGAAACAAGCCTTTCACATTTACATTGATGCAAATTAGTGTTGGGAGATATGCTCCATAGTCATATTTTATTGTCAGCCTGTCCTGAGATCGCCGATACACGATATTATCATGATAATTTATTTACTTATTATTTACCAGAAAGTGAACCAACTCCAGGGTATGGCTAAAAGCAGCCTAATGTTGGTGTACTCTAACTACACATATCTTTTTAGTCAAGTAGCTTATGGATGTCATGCCATAAAATACTTGTAATATGACTGAATTTGTATTTAACAATTTAATAAAAACAATGTAAGTTACTAATGATAATGCTTAGCCTACATTTCCTCTGTTATTCAAACAGCAGCCACAGAAAACGAGGATAGAACATTTTCAAAGAACATCATATCCGATTGCATATCGTTTATGTAAAAACGTTTCAGAAAGAATCAACCCATTCGTGAAAGTTTTCCACAAAGTAGTGGAGTGTGGGGGTCTACCATGGTCTGGGCAGCGATGAGAGCAGCCAGCATGCTTCTTCCTGGTGATCCTGGGGCACAGAAAGACACACGTATGTGAGTACCACCCAAAGCTCTCCCATCCATCAGCCGCTGCACATCCTCCGCCATCTCAGGTGTTGAGAACTCCAGCACTGCAAACCGCCGAAAATTACAATCCTGACCCTGAGCAAGCTATGGAAAAAATAAAAATAAATAAGATTTTTCACAGATAAAATGAGCAGTATTAAGTTAGTCATGGAATACCGACCAAGCCATTCCCATGAGACAATTGACTTAAAAGCAGGGCTCTACGGATACTTTTCTTTTTAGGAGCGCTTGTGCTCTTAATTTAAAAAATTTAGGAGCACGGTCAGAAATTTAGGAGCACCTTCTAACCAGTAATCCAAAATTCTGATTAAAAATAAATAAATTAACCTTCCCATTACGAGGTGATAGTTGACTCCTTAAAGTGATTTATAGGGAATTTTGTTTTTTTAAAACTTTATTAAAAGTATGTCAAAATCAAAAAAATATATTTATAAGCTTTAACATTTCTAATTAAAACAAGTAGAATAAGTTACCAATCAAGTGAAATCAGTATTTTCAGAGATGGCACAAAAGAACACAAGTGGCTTGTATGTGTATTTTCAGACGTTTAATGAGGCTCAGAGGTCGCATGAGTGCAATTAAATTCATGTTGAGGTTAACGTTTTAAATAACATTTTGAATATAGAAATGATTTAAATTACAAAAAAAAGATGCTTTAAAAACTAAACTTAAGGCGTTAAGTCACTGAATCATTCATTTAATTGATTCGTTCGATCAGCTGAATCATTCAGGAACGAAGTACGTGACTGTCTTTATGAATGGGTAACTGAATCATTGACTCACTAGATTAGTTTAAAAACGCAGTTCATTCATAAACGAATCACCACCAGTGTTTGAATAGAGATGCGCAGCGGATCAGCTTATACTTAAAAAAAAAATAATAATAATTTGTTGATGAAATGCCACAAAATAAGGCAATTGTGTTGTTGTCAGACAATATACGTCACTTAATATTAACTTCTTGTTTAATGAACTGTTGTATTAAATCAATATCACATTTGCAAACTCCCTTAATAATCATTAAAAGCTGTCACTCATCTGAGTTTATCCCGATCTCACAAAACGCCATTATAATCGACGAAGCTCTCTACACTGCACAATGAATATCTTATTTACACCCCGTCAACACTTTGTTTGTTATAATGAGAGGATATGTCTGTGATACATTACTCAACGCTGCAGAAACACGTACGTATATTAGAACCTTTGAAGCTCCCTCAGCGCAAACACAAATATGCTGATCGGGTCAGTCGCACAGGTGCTCCTAAATATTATTTCATAGTCGCACGCAGTAGTTTTCAGTCGCAAATGCGACTGAAATGGTGGCACTGTAGAGCCCTGAAAAGGATAGTTCATGCTCCCCAAAATAAAAATTGTCAATTTACTCACCCTCATGTTGTTCCAAACATGCATGACTTAAATTTTTCTAAGGAACAAATATTTTGACAAGCATTTGTCGTCCATATATTGGAAGTAAATGGGAACCAAGAATGTTGGTAACCAAACAGTTTTCAAAATATCTTTTATGTTCCACAGAAGAAAAAGTCATAGGTTTAGAATGGCATGAAGGCAAATAAATGACAGTTTACAAATTCAGGGGAATTGACTAGTGGTCGACTGATACTGGTTTTTTTGACAGCCGATGCCGATATCTTGGAAAGCAGGGTGGCCGGTATAATTGTATTTATTTTAATTAATATTTAAGAAATTTGAAATAATTTGAAATTGGATTAAAAATAAATTTGTAAAATAAACATACTTATACTTTAGATGACAAACTATTTTCCACAAACAAATATTTAATTAAAATATCATTAAAAAGGAAGTAAACCGTAAACAGAGCACTCAGTATTCTGGGAAGTTTGTGCACGTTGGGAATCATCTTTTCTCAAATAAAGCCAAGGTAACACTCATTTTACATACAGCACACAGTGAAAACTACATGAATATGACAGTGAGCAAATGCATAAAGCGCAGCATAATTTGAAATCACAAATTTAATGTTTAAAGCATTCAATTTGCACGGACCGAAAGTCACGCAGAGAACACGCGATCATGCAGTTCACATGCACACTTCACAAGATCTCACAACTGGAGATCTTTGTTTGCAAGGCATTAGTCATTCAAAGATTTGTTTAAATGATGTAAATGCATATTTGCTGAATGATGACGGCAAACGAGAAAGTATTATAAGGTTTAAAAAATACTTTTTGTAGACATTTTAATTCCTTTAACAGTTCTATCGGATTATTAGACAGACTTCTATCCGTATTAGACAGAACTGTTAACGACGACGGCGAACAAGACGGAGAATGTGAGCACTGTGTGCTCAGGCGCTGCCGCTCTCAGTGCAGTCAAAATAAAACCGCCTCGAACGCATCGGCCAAACAGAAACTTAACGGTCGATGCCGATATTTGAAAGAAATAAAAAAAGCCAGCTATCGGCCGATATATCGGTCGACCACTAGAACTGACTTTAAATGTCACATAAAACAGCTGTGATTAGGCTGCTATGAATAGAGATTTTTAAAAATGTTTTCTGAAGCATAAACTTCTAAAAAGGAGAGGAAAGCACCGTTGACATTTTTTAATAATTTTTTTTGTTGCAATTTCACAAACAAATATAGAACTACACTTTCTACTCCAAATAGGTTAAAACCCCAAAACATTTTCCCATTTAACACACACACAAAAAAAAAAAACATCTAGTGCAAATCAAATATTCTGCTCAGAAACAATCATATGGCGCATAATGAACGCCACAAGTGGCATTAACCTCAAGTTAATTTAATGCGATAAAAGAAAAGGAGAAAGTAAGGAGAGATGGGGGAGGAAAAAAGAGCAGCACCAAGACAAATCACAGTACCTTGCTGAAACGCATCATAACCACTGTGCCAAAACCAAAGCCCAGTATTATGCTAATCTACACAGAACACATGCATACTTATACAAAGGAAGACAACCTTTCCTGACAGAGCCATTAAGATTAATGCAGCTCCTGAGCTTCTCTGATTTGGGTGGAATTGTGTTCAGCAAGCAAACACAATGAGTCACTAAGGCCTTGATTAGATATTCTTGGAAAAATTCATTAAACATTTGCCCATTATACACATGACTGGAGCCTCATCCACATGAGGCCAATTCGATACCTGCCTAAAACCTGAGGAAACTGAACTGGGAGCACAACTAATTTAATGAGAATTAACTTCCAAAGCCTGTGCTAATTCCATGGCAATGGGGAACATGACGAAAAGTGTCATTCCCAACAATGCCTTGCAGGCCGCGGTGTAGATAATCCACGTTGAACACATGAAAAAGGCAGCAGCTCTCTCGTTCCAGAATGACAGCACCTGGCCCAGTCAGGTGGTGGTCACCATAGAAACCAATGCACTCTGCCATGGAGCACTCAGCACTGCCTCATGGAAAGCAGGTCAAAAGGTGAAAGAGCGGAGCATAAAATGAAAGCATAAAAGGAAATTCGGCTTTAGTGTTCAATAAATCTGACAAAGGGCTATACATGAAAACTAACAAATGCACAAAGCTAAAGACATGCCACTTTGTCATGTTAACAAGTACTTTGAAAAATCAGTGAAATGCAAATGTTTAGGAGAACGTTCAGGCTTTTCCTTTTCATAAAATGAAGGTGAACAGGGACAGGGGTCATCAAGAACCAAAAAGGAGCTTAATTGACTAAAGACGCAATTCTCGCAAAGGATAACTATAACTACAAAGTTTTAATAATCGTTCTAATTCTGAAAAAAGAAAAAAAAAAAAGTGCACAACGCACCTATAAAGATTACAGCACTTTTTTTTTTATATGGGCAAATGTTTCCCAACAAAAGGAACAATATGGGCAAATGCTTAATGAATTTTTCACTCTCATAAGTTTATTTTATTCCAGCTGATGAAAACATTGACAGCCAATCAGAATCAACCTAACTTTAAAGAGCTCAAATATTCAATGCAAAATGCAAATGACAAATCATAACATTATAAACAGAATGATAAGATCCATTGGCGTGGACGCTAATATAATTATCGTTCTTAGCATGAGTGGGCCTTTATTAAATTGAACTTAAATTGATGCTAATGAAAATGATGTTGTAGGGCTGGACGATGTGGCCAAAATTTATATCACAATATATTTTTTAATTTCGGTCGATACGATATAATTCTGATATCGATATGAACACTATTAAAAAAGCCTCATAAAAACGGCCAAGAACGGCCACAACAGATGTCTGTACCTACAAACTTATGAAAAATTTATTTGCCAACTCTATGAAACCTACTCCTATAAAACTACATAATATTTTAGGAAATAAATAAATGTTCACCTTTTATTGGTATTTAGCCTTCATACAAACAAGAAATGTGAAATCACTGTCAAATAAATATCAGACTCTCCTTATTAATATTAATATTTTTTACTTCAAACTATAGGCTAACATACCAGTCAAAAGTTTTTGAACAGTAAGATCTTTAATGTTTTTTAAAGAATTCTCTTCTGCTCACCAAGCCTGCATTTATTTGATCCAAAATACAGCAAAAACAGTAACATTTTGAAATATTTTCACGATTTAAAATAACTTTTCTATTTGAAAATATAATTTATTCCTGTGATTTCAAAGCAGAGCTTTAGCATCATTGACGCCACAAATAAATCAATGTATGGGAAACATTGGTAATGGATATCGAAATATCGGAAATGTGTTTAAAAATCCTATCACTGTTATTGAAAAAAATTATATCGTGATACATATTGATATTGAATTATTGAATTAGCGGTTTTGGAAAGGCATGAGGGTGCGTGTAATTGATTCTCATTTTTGGTTGAATGATTCTATTATCATAGAATCATTCAAGGAGGGGGGGTGTAGCATTAGGACATTAACATTATTTTTCAACGGAACACAGCTGCAACTTTAAGACTCATCATGGCGCTCATCAGCCGGAGTGGATAAATGTCAGTCATCCAGTGGATAAACGTCAGTAGAGCAGCTGAAGTATAACAGCTTTTATCAACAGCACTGCAGTAAGAGTGGAAATTTAGAAGCTTGACTGGAGTGAAGTGGGGGGGAAACCAGTTGCTACATCAAAAACTGGGGATTTCTAGCATTTTTTTTGCCATTTTTATTATCCGTCATGCAAATATATGATCACTTAGAAAGGTAATAGTGCACGTCTCCTCAACCAAACCTTTTTTTTTTTTTTGCTCCGTTCACGAAACGCCAGCGATAGATCCTACCTTCTGGTTCAGCAGTCATATTAGCTCAATATTTCCGCCAGTTTTTCATTAGCGGTATACACAAGCACCCTAGATTTCATCATCATAATATTGCACAAGGCAGGTAATGTTCCACCAGATAATTAGATAAATAAGCGTTATGGAGCACATGAAGAGACAGCCACAATGGTTGCAAATTAAACTTCAAATTAAAACTCCAGCACTGGAGAAATAATTAAGTTGCATGTCTATTACAATATCTTGCCATCTGCCTCAGAGTACATACAAATGACATGAAATAAAAATTGACCCCCATTTACTTCCTTAATATCAATGTCTTATTGTGCGCACAAGTCACATAAGAAAATGATGCCCCTTGAAAACCAATTTGTTCGGTGGACAAAAAGGACCAGGAAAAAAACATCAATAAGTATCAAATTCTATTTATCTGGCAAAGAACACCACCTCTACCCTTTAGAATGTCCTACTGAAATGAGTTTCACTTGAAATTAAAAATCACATTAATTAATAAATCACATTTTAATTTTCAGGTTATTTTTAGCCATATTTTAAAGCTGGCATGAAACAGAAATTGTGATCGTCTTTTCTTCCCTATTGTGACAAATCTGAATGAAACTTTTTATTTGACTAAAAAGTGACAGTGATGAGCGCTGCGTTTTACCCAAAGTTGAACATTCTTCAACTCTCAGCGCAGAGAGAAAAAAAAGCCCAGCACACAGCGCCTCGTCACGCTCCTGGCGCTAGGGCTGCACAATTAATCAAATTTCTAATCGCGATTACAATTACGGATGTCACAATTATGTAACCGTTCAAAGCGCCAATTAACCGTTCAAAGTCCACTTATGTTATTCGGTGTGCTTAAGATGTGTTTTTTCTTTCTACATGTTCTCAAGGGGTTTTCCGTTGTTTTAATATGACATTAATACTAGGGCTGTGCAATTTGGGAGAAAATATCAAATTGCGATTGCGATTTGATTTGCGATTTTAAATTTGCAAAGTCAAGCTTCAGCTCAATATTGCCAATAATGTGCAGCACAGTATGGGTATCATTACCCTGCTGAAAAAAACTGTAGAAACTATCACAGAAATTCTTATAGTTTCCATTAAACCATTACAAAATTCCTTTTTGTTTTGGGCATTATTCCAATAGGAATTACGGTTGTTCTATTGGTTGCCATCTGCCAGATTACATCCCATCAATAGAATCCATCAAATAGACACCATTATAGTTTACATTAAAACCAAACAAATTCCCATTATAACCTGAAATACATTACATTTGTTATTGTGTTTTGGGAGGGGTTCTATTTGTTTGTTTTTTTCAGCAGGCAAGATTATAATGGTATAACTACTTTTACAGAATTAACTTAATTACTGAATTTCACAGAAAATATTTGTTTATTTTTTTATAAATAAAGAACTATTTCTTAAGTCAATTATTAAAGTATTACATATGTTACATAGGCTGATTTATTCATTTTAAGGATTTGGGATTTTAAGAGCAAGTGGAAAATGTGCTGAATGTTTCATTTCATCCAAGTGAAATTAGCAAAGCAGTTAAGACTGAATTTACATTCGTTTTAAACGCGGAGCCAGGCGCGAGTCGACACAGGTTGCGCGCGTGCGTCAAGCCTCATCCATACTGCCAGATGTGCTCGTGGAGACCTACGGTGCGGAGCCGGGTGCGAGTATAAATGAGCATTACGAGACAGGCTGTGTGAGTATGAGAAGCATTCACAGACACAGGCTGTGTGTACGCTCTTCTGAATTGGGAATAGCGAACATGCATCAAACTTATTTGAAATTAATCTGTTGGGGAGATAAAATTTGTAAGATAACGTTCACGTACTAACAAAAACATCTAAGAATGTATCTTTAATTCGCCAGTACTGATAACAGAACCGATACGTGAGCTTTTGATTTGCACTGTGACGCAGCTCTTGGAAATTACCTTTTTTGTTTGTTGTCTGTCATTTCGAAGCTTAAGATGCCTAAGTTTTTCTTTAGTTTTAATTTGCCTAACTATCGATCTGACCCAGTAGACGTCATAATCCCACTTCTGTCTCTCTCCCGCTTTGTTTTTTTTTTTTAAATGGTGGGTGTTTACGCAGTTGGCTAGAGCTTTGCTGATTGGGGAGAACGGAGGTGCGCTCACTCTATTGGTTACCAACTCAAGGCTGGCAGTCATGCATATGCTCTGGAACAGAGTAATATCGCGTCCATATCGCAGGCTTTGAAATTAGGAAATCGCAATGTCTCAAATTGCGATTTCGATTAAATCGCACAGCCCTAATTAATACCATGCATATTTTAACTTTTTATTTAAAGAACCAATCCAATGAATAGATGCCTTTGAGGCTTAATACTATAGAAAAGCAATAAAGGTTTTTCAGTTTGAGTGTTTTCAGCTCGTTTATTGTCATCTAAAAATATGGCATGCAGTTGCTTCAAACAATGATATAACATCATTCAATGTAAACTGTGATAATCGTAATTAAGAATCGCAATTACCATTTCACATTTCAAGGGAATAATCGACAATTATGATTTTTGTCATAATCGTGCAGCCCTACCTGGTGCTTTAAAAAAAAAACAAAAAAAAAAAAACACGGTGCTCCCATTGAAAACAAACAAAAAAAAAAACAAACAAAAAAAAAACATTGAGCACTGAGAATTTTTTGCTAGTTTAATTTTCCATTCAGGGAAATGAGATATTGATCTATGGGCCATTAATAAGGAAGCAAAGTCTACAAATACATATATATATATTTTTTTTTTTTTAAAGTTGAACGTGTTAGCTTTAAACCGCATTCTAAGAAAAACGGCAATCATGTGCAAGACGCTAAAAAGATGTGAGACGCGAGTGCACTGGGTAAACATGTTTATTTAATAGGGCTGGGACAATAAACCGATGCATCACGATTTGTGGATCAATTCTGAGACTTTCGGAATGCATCGTGATTTTCCCTCGAATCGATTCTGAGCTTAGTTTTTAACAGCAGATGGCACTCTAGGCTAGTTTTTAACCGCACACTCAAAAGAATCAGCCAGTGCCATCAGCGGTTAAAAACGAAGCACAGAATCGATTCAAGAGAATTGCGATGCCTTCGGAAAATCTCAGAATCGATGCAGAATAATTTCTCGATTCATCAATTTATTATCCAAGCCCTACTATTTAATGCATGTTTACACAGAAAAACAATGAAAAAACATTCTGCATGAACAAACCCTTACTTCCACACTTGACTCATGTCAGGTGGGTCAAGCCCTCGTACCAACCTGGCAGAATATGGGAGCGTGTGTGTCAATCAGCACACTGCGGAGATCCTGGGCGGTGAGGATGTTTTGAGGTAGTCGGTCCACACAGAGGCAGAGCGAGTGTAACATGGGAAACGTAAGCGAGCCAACCTCTGTCCAGTGCACGTACAGCATTCGTGACCCAAGCTGCTTCCCCAGCAGCTCTGACTTTGCCCTGGCTGCAGAGTCCTTCTTCATGTACTCCACAAAGCCATAGCCCTTCGAGTGGCCCATGGTGGCACTGTGCACCAGGAAGCAGCGCTCAATGTTTCCGAAGGGCCGGACGAGCTCCTCAAACTGTTGCTGGGTGAAAGCCCTGGGAAGGTTGGCGATGCACAGCAGAGCATCCGTCGGCTGCAGCTGCACAGAGATCTCACGGTCACGGAGAACACATTGGTGAAATTCCTTAATCGCAAACTGGGCCTGCTCACCATTTAGTAGCGTTACAAAGGCTTGAGTGGGAAAAACAGAAAAAAATTAGTAACAGCCACCATAAAGGCATAAGGGAAAAAAGAATCTTGCAATATACTAATATTCACTAATTTGTGGTTGGTAAGAAGTATTTTATGCTCACCAAGGATGCATTTATTTGATCAAATATATTAGCATTTTGAAATTGTTAATTTTAACAAAAATATTTATTCTATTGTAACATTTAAAACTTTTAAGTTATGCCTGTGATTTCAAAGCTGAAATTTTCAACATTATTCTAGTCTTCAGTGTCACGTGATCCTTCAGAAATCAGTTTAATATGCTGATTTGTTGCTCAAGAAACATTATCAATATTGAAAACAGTTGTACTGCTTAATATTTTTTGTGGAAAGATATATTTTTCAGGATTCTTTTATTTAATAAAAGTTCAAAGGAATAACATTTATTGGAAATTGAAATCTCTTGAAACATTTTAAATGGCATGCCCATTTGATCAATTTGATGCAACCTTGCTGAATAGAAGTATTTAAAAAATAAATCTTACATTTAAAAAACAAAAAAAACAAAAGCTAAAACCAAAAATAAACAGCACACGTCCACACGAAGCCAGAGCTTTCCCCATCAAATCTTTTTTTTCCCCTCATCTCAAGAAATATCTGCATCCACATGAAACCACAAAACCATGTAGTATACATGCCAGACCAGTATGTGGCGCTGTAATTCTGCCACAGAAATACACTAAAAATAGAGACGACTTGGACTATGCGCATAAACCTTGCGCGCCGTATACAAACGAACATGTTACAATACATTTATTAATCTGTTTTAATGTTACTTAAAGGGGTCATATGATGCGATTTCAATTTTTCCTTTCTCTTTGGAGTGTTACAAGCTCTTGGTGCATAAAGAAGATCTGGAAAGTTGCAAAGACTAAAGTCTCAAATCTAAAGAGATTCTTTATAAAAGCTCAGAGTCAGCCACACCTACCTAAAACAGCTCGTTCTAACACGCCCCCACATATCTACCTCACTATGTGGGAAGATTTGCATAACGCCGCCCAAATGTTCACACAAAGAAAGGCGTAACTTTTATTCTCGCTGTAGTTTTGTTGACGCTGCAGCCATGTCGTGAAGACGCTGTGTGCTTCGTTGTGAAAGCGAAACTACTTTGTTTGGTCTTCCAAAAGAGGACACGACTACAAATCAGTTGTATTTACAACACTGTTCCAGAACAGTTTAACCCAAATATCCAGATGTGTGCAGCACACTTTATGGAGGACGGTTTACTGATCCTGGGAGAGTAACGTTAGACTAAAATGCCGGCAGTTCTGACTCAGTCTGCAAGTACGTTTTCATTTAAAGGATTTGCCACTGATGATTCAAACGCGAGTTTTGGGCAGTGTAGAGTAGCACTTGTTGTTTGTCATTTCTCAGATCACAAATGCAGACAGACTTTTATGTTTACGCGGCGCGATACAATGCAACGCGTAAAAAGACAGTACAAGTCATTATAATCCGTAATTATGTCCCCACTGGACGCAACAAATGCCTCGTTTGTAATGGGTTTTAATGTTTTTGTCTCATCGCTCCGGCATCAACAGTATGGTAGGGGTGTAACATTTCCGTCACACGCTTGAGGTATTCAGCCAATCACAACGCACTGGATAGCTGGCCAATCAGAGTATGCCTCGCTTTTTCAGACTGATGAGCTTTGTAAAAATTTACGCGTTTCAAAAAGGCGGGGCATAGAGGAGAAACAATAATGTACAGTATGTGGAAAATGTGTTTAAACTGCATAAACATTTCATTACACCAAATAAATGTTCTTTTTAGCAGCATCATATGACCCCTTTAATAAAGAGACAATCGTTCAGTGTTTGTTCATGTTTTTGATGTTGTTACGTGATGTAGCGGTGTCTTGACTAGGGGCGAGACGTGGGATGGTGATGTCATCGTTTCAGAAAATATACGGATTTGCCGTCCACACAAAAATGCAAGGGCGGCGTTTTCAGATTTATCCACTCTGGGACCCGGTTTAAAAAAATATCGGTTTCACTCTCCCAAAACACCGGAACTGTGAGAACGAAACGCCTATACTATACAAAACTTATGCGTATACAGCTAAACGAGTCTCCGTGTGGACGGGGCCAAAGACTAAATTAATCAGTAAAAAAAAAAAAGAAATTAAATAAATGTTTGCACAAAGGCAGTATGCCGAGTGGTTTAATATGTATGGCTCAAGTTCACACACAAAGAGGTTGAGGAATATCAACACAATGTTACTTTGAAAACACTCCAATTATCGGAGTTGCTGATGCTAAATAAAATACTTAATAGGCTCAGGATGATGTAAAACGTTGCCAATTCCAAAAAAGAAAAAAAAAGTCCATTCATGTGATAATGATGATTCATACACACCTGTCCCTTTGTATTTGTCCACAAAGCAGTACTTCAAATCATAGCTGCTTAACAGCTCGTGCACCTCCTAAAGAAAAAAAAATCAAACAGGATGATTTTAATTCATTTAATGATTTTATCTTCCATTTTGCATGAACAATGAAGTCATTCAATAGATTCAAAACAGCTTAAACGGCTCAGCTATCATCTCTGTCCTGTCATACCATCACCTTCTATTCCCACAACTCTCATTTTAAAGTGTCACAAATTAAATGATCTTTCAGTGGTTATGATTGAATGATTAATAAAATTATTTTGACGGCAACAAGGGAAAAGAAAAAACCTCCACCTTTGCTTCCAGGCTTCCTACATGTTACCATAACATGAACCAGCACTTTCTTTTAGTGTCAGTGAAAGCAAAACGTTTTGTTTCAGCGCCTTCTGTCCTTTGTCATCCTCACTGCTCCCATTCCAATCTGGAACAATACTAGGGTCGCTCACACACACACACACCCCAGTTTTCCCCATGAATCAAGCATTTTCCTAAGAGAACCTCATCCACAAACAACAAGAACCACCCGACCCATATGAACATTGCTCATTTCCACAATATAACAGTTTGAGAACACAGATGACCGCCAGACAATGTGATTTACAAGGGAGCAGCTAGAAACATCTAGCATAAAAAGTTGAATATATTGCCCATCTTAAGAAAACCAGTTAATCAGCTGGTAATATTACTTAGCACTATAACATGGGAATAGCTACGAGTAACAAACTGAATACATACTAAACATTGACCAATTATTAAATTACAAATAAAATAGGGAACTGTTAATAGTGAAGTGTTACCAGTCACAAATGACTAGCGTCTCATAAATAGGTACTAGTATTTAATGAAAAGCACTAGGTAAGCTGACTAGCAACCTATGAATAAGCAGCACCTAGTAAAAGCAGCACCAGCCTGGACTGGAATGAAATTGTGATCAAAATGAATAGTTGAGGTCTGAAACACAGATCCCCTTAGAAACTAGAAAAGAAAATTTGTAACTTTTTTTTTTTTTTAAACAGCATGCCAGCTTCTTCAGCCATTTTCATGGTGAAAACTATTCTCGAGTTGCTGATTTACAATAGAAATTAAGACCAGTTTTGATCATTTTAAAACAATTTGGATTAACTCGAATCAAACTTTTCATGAGTATCAACAAAAAAAATTAAAAAGTTCAAGAAACAATACAATCCAATAAAACATTTGACAGACAATGATCTCTGAAATGTACACATGGGAAGGAAATCATTTGTAGTTTGTTACAAGTAGCAATGATATAGTAACTGTTGGGATAGTGACTAGTAACAAAGGGGAAACAATACTAGTATGTAAAGGAGCAATAGTAATTAATTGAGCATGTACTATTCCTGAATGTAGCAGCTCTAGTAGTATCTAACGAATAAGCATTAGTGAAATTAAATACACCAGTCACTAGTGAATTACTTACTATTAAATGTGAAAAAAAGCAGAAACAACATTTAATAGTAATTGGTTTTACAGGATAAGTGCATGCCATACTCTGGTTAACAGGTAGATAAACATTCGTGACAAGCAACTTATTAGAAATGGGCAACATTTTCAGATGCAAGCGTCAAACTTTTGGGAGGATTTCGATACTTGCGTCGCCTAACGTAATTTAAAATAGTGAAATTAAGCAACGAATATATATATAACACTAATCTGCAACTTCGCCAAGCTGTGATTTGGCAGGATAAGCATCCGGGGATTCAGCTCGATTAATGAACGGTCAAACGGCTCGCATGCTTTCAAGTCAACTAACGTTACACAACTCACATCGGACTCAATCCCGTTACCGCGGCTCTTTAATGGCTGCGATGACACGAGGCTCGGTGTGGTCAAAACATTGATCCCTCACCACAACACTGTAAAACCCCAGAGTATTGACTACCGTGTCAGCGACCACTGAAATCTGGAAGTGTGACTCGATCAAGCTGCCCATCTGTATGTGGGATGCTCGACCAAAGATCATCAATTGTTTGATTGATGCACAAACCTGATTGCTGATATCGGCTGGGAGGTTCTTGATAATTATTTTTCGCCGATTATAAAACTCTCTTCTCGTTCTTTCCAAACGACTAGCAATCTCTTCTGGACTAAGGGCCGTCAGTTCATCATCGAGCCGTCGCGGACAGTCGCTGCCCGTCGGTGGACCCTCATCGCCGGTGTCCGCATCGACTTGTTTGCCCATTTCAAACCCGCAGTTTTCGAGTTCGGCTGCTTGATCGTAACTTTTATAGAGTGGATTCGGGACAAAATTGGCACCAGTGAAGGATTTCTCGTCTCTGGCAGCTGAGCTAACGGATACCGCGGTCGCCATGTCTCCGTGTGGTAGTTTGTGTGCTCACACCGCACGTTTGCGTTGGCCAGTTTAAACAATACACACATGCGAGGAACTCGCTCGCTGATTGGTCGAGAGGAAATGCGTTTTTCTTTCAGGCTTGAGGGGCGGGGCTAACGAGTCACGTCTCAAATTTGAACACAAGGCAGGTGGGTTGCCAGATACCATAAAATATTTAATTTATTAAGAATAACTTTTTCCTTGTTTTGATGCACTCTGTTGTTTCTTATTTTACGGTTTGCATATTAAGAAAAAGTAAAATACCTGATAACATGTTGTTCAGTGAACAGACTGCCAAATATCACTTTGTCCTAACCATTTAGTTTACAATATAAACATCCTTGCTCTGGACTGTTGTAGAGAGTTTGTTTTATCTCAATACCTTGATGTGTATATATAGCTAATTATTTTTCAGTCCTCTAGTTTTAAAGGCAAATGTGGACTGGTTGCCAGATCAACATAAAAGCAGTCAGTGGGCCTCATAGGTACTAACAAAAGGGGTTCACAATGGTTTTGTTGTGAAAATGTTACGTTCTGTTCTTTAAAAATAGTTTTGTCGAGCTGGCCCAAGGTTCCAGGTCGTGCATGTGTGTGCCATCAAAGTTGTGATGAAATGGAAGTAGCGACAGATCTTTTATTCTGTATTGACACATCTGAAGGTATCAGATTCAGAGGGAAAAAAAATAAAATTAGTTTGGGAACTGATTGGGTTTTGAGCTTGCAGTTGATTGTGGAGGGGAAATGTTTTAGCAAACCAAATAATTGAACAAGTCCAGCATACGTCACCAGACAGAAGTCCGTCATTTCACTGGAAGATCGAGCTATATTTTGATTACAGGGTCAAAACATGGATGAATTCCTCGCCTTAAGATCAATAACAAATTTACAAAATTGACCGTGATTTTTCATGTCATGCTGACTTTGACTATTTCTGAATGAATAAAAATCCACAAGGATACACTTATAAATAATAAAATGCCTCTCTAAAGACAGTATCTTGGTATACACTTTGAATAATTACATTTATTAAAAGAGTATTTATATATACATTGAGTGGGACATTAAGACTATAGCATTTCACGTAAACCTAGTAAGAATTGCACATTTTTCAAAAAGACAAAATATAAATAAAAAAAGAAAGAAAAGAGAAACATTCAAAGTGGCATTTGTATCATACTTTAAACATCTAAATTCATATTCTTAAGGCCTTCAAAATAACAGTCTGTCACAGTCTTTGCTTTCTCCCAATATATATATATATATATATACACACACAGTATGTATAACAGCAGGACTGGGGAAAGAGGAAATAAGCTCGAAAGCAACTAAACACACCTGACCATATTTACACAATAATATGTTACATTGGGAATGAAATAAAGAATGAATAATGTCCACAACCATGCATTCTTTGGTTATTATGGTTTTAACAGCAAGACACTTGACTTAAAGCAACTGTATGTAGTTTTGTGTATTTTTGCGACTTTAAAGCCCCCTACAGTTAATTGAGGAAATCACTGTAGTTTTTACAGTGGATCGCTGCACACGTGCGTTCGTTGCTGCCGTAAAGCATTTCACCCCTTTGGAGGGATTTTGTACCTGCTCACCAAACTTACATACTCCCAGAACAGACATTTGTGGTGGAGTGTGGGAAAGAAACCGAAGCCAGTCACCTTCTTAGAAGTCAGTGTAGCACCAGAATGATTTTGAAACTTCATTACTTTCATTCGGCTGCTTATTTACTTATTTACTTAGTTATTGTTCACCTCTTAAGTGACTGAAAGCGGCGAACAGTTCGAAGAGAGGTTTGTAGAACCAAGCTCTGGGTCTATCACAAACACCGGCACAGTTTCGGTAGAAAAAGAGGTACAGTATGTGGGTTCCCTCAACTGAATATTTTTTAAAAAACATCCTCTTTTCTGAAAATACAGCCCAATGAGCTACGTGTGGTCAGGCTTACAGTGAAGTGCTGTGGTTACAGGCTGTGAAAACAGCACAGATAGAGAGGACAGAGCAGGTCAGCGATGGTTGAGCTGAGCGAGTTGCACAGACGGTTGCTGTTTGTACGTTTGCCTGATATCCTTCAGAGACTCAGCCAGGGAACTGAATGAGGGACGCTGCCCAGGGTTGAAATCCCAGCATTGCTCCATCAGTAAATAAACCTGTAAAGAGGATTTGTGGGTTACACAAATAATTATGTAAGAATACTTGAGCTGTATTTTTTTGCATTTATGAATATTTGTGCTGCTTAGTTTCACTGTACCTCACAGGGACAGTCTCGAGGGCACGGCAGTCTCTCATTTTTCTCCAGGAGGGTAATAAGTTTAACCACAGTCATCTGACCATGGACCAATCCCATCATCTCAAAGAATTTCTATGGAAAACAAAGTCATCCATCAATTTGAAAGATATTGCAAACTTAAAGGACTAAACTAAAACCATAAAAAAGTTACTTTAAAAAACAAACAAACATTTACTGAAATAAAATAAAATGTATAAAAACCCTGAAACGTATTGTATTTCAGCTAGTTTCCAAGGAATCATTTCCACTTAGCTAAACTTGATGCACTAAAAAACTAAAACTGAAATTAAAAAAAAGACAAAACACAACTAAATTACTAAAACTTTAACTAAAACGAAAAAAAGACCCTTTAAATATGAATAAAAATATAAAAAATGACAAAATATTAACTAAAATTACACTGCATCACACCAGAGCTTTTTGTCGACCATTTGTCATTTGTTTTTCTGTATTTCATATACTATACATGTCAATAAAATTGACATTTTTGGTCATTTTGTTGATTACTGCAGGTTTACAGAGACAGCGTTACACTGGTCCGCTGTGAGCCGTACATCCTTCATGCATATTTGGCAAATGTGGCAATTATTTCTTTATGTGTAAAACTGGAACATTACAGAGTGCACTTTTTATATAAACATTACAAACTGATGCAGAAATGTCGAGACGTACCGAAGGGGGGCTTTGGTGATGGTTGCAGTTGGTCAAAATCTCATAGAGGGTCACAGCAAAGGACCAAACATCAGAGGCAAAGGAAAACTTGCTCTCCTTCAGGCACTCTATGGCGTACCTTAAAAGCAAAAAATTTAAATAAAAAAGTGTTTCGGAATAACTGCTGTTTGTTTAAACCCAGAGATGAATTTAATAATTAAAAAGATAAACAAGTGCAGAGATAAATGTAAGGTTTTCAAAGTTTTGTTCTTATTAAATTATTTTAGTTTCTGTGGGATTCAATAATTGTGTTGATCAATAGCAAACATACTTATGCTTTCACTGAGTAACACCACATTATGTCTAATGATGTCCATAAATCCATTAACAGATCATGCTGTATTGATAAAAACATTCTCCAGGATGTTATCAACATTAGAGAACATTACCCAACTCCCCAAGCCTCCAGCTATTACAGCTTACCAGAACACAGGGCTGTCTCCGTCCTCACGAACACGATAGTAGATCTCCCCTTCGGGAATGTACTTTGTCAAGCCAAAGTCACCGATCTTAACCACACCTTCATTCTCCACCAAAACATTCCGTGCAGCCAAATCCCGGTGGATGTACCGTTTGGAGTGCAGATAGTCCATCCCCTATGGGTGCGGCAGAACAGATTGGATAGCAGAGTAAGGACTATTAGTTTTTCTTTTGTAGCTTCAGTATGACTTTGAAGGGTCTGACTTCCTCACCATACAGATCTGCTGTGCATACAGGAGGCTTTGTGCGATTCCCAACCAGTGTTTTGGCAGGTACTCTCTGAGGCTTCCCAGTGGAAGATACTCCATGATTAACTGAACCACCTGTCCACCTAAAACAAAATACCACATATAGTACACCGTGAGTGTGGCTGTCACAGTTTGCATGAGTAGATTAAATATTACCAAATGAAACAGGAAGTGGGGTGGGACATAGCCTAGGAAACCATGATTTGCTGCTTGCTATTTCTAGTCGGAGGCAGTTGATAATTATAAATTCAGTGGAGGTGTTGTTATTGAAGAGAAGAATTTCTGATGGCCCTTAATACACACACACACACATATATATATATATATACATAACTACCTTTGACTGTAACATTTAAATTTGGGTTCATTTTCCTAGAATCATGTATTATCTGCTAAAATAGTATTTGTCAACTTTTATCTGTACACTAGCATATAGAAAGCTACTAAATGAAAAAAGTGACAAAACTGTATTTCATGAGGGCTTTAAGCTAGTGGCTTTGCTCACCCAGTTCAGTACAGCACCCCTTGTATTTGACGATATTGCTGTGGTAAAGTGATTTAAGTATGTCGATCTCCTTCATCCAGGAATCGTGGAGGTTACTTCCACTCTCTTGTTTCAATGCCTTCACCGCCACATACTCTCCTGTTCCGTCATTGCCAGGGTCATAGACGTACAGCATCACCTTTCCAAAATGTCCCTGAAAGCAAGTCACAGAGTATCATATGAAACTGAAATATGACGGTAAGACCTGAACAAATTATTGAGCAGAAACGGTAAACTGACCTCTCCCAGATCCCTGATCTTCTTCAGGTAACGTTTGTAAAACATGCTGGGGTCTCTGTCTGGGAGTGACTCACATTCTGATGAAATGTCTGGATCTTATTGAAGAAGACAATAACATATCAATTTCTAAAAATCACAAACAAAAGTGGAACACAAAAGAAATTTTGAAGAACACTGGGGCCCAACAACATTAGGCCCTATTAACTTTTATTGTATGGACAAAAAAAAAATCCAAAATATCTTCTTTTGGGTTTTGGAACAACTTGAGGATGAGTAAAGTTTTTTATGTTGTTTATTTGACTATGTGGTGTTTTTAATATGCTTTTAGACAAACCACGTGCCAATCTATTAATCAACACCATTGCTGAGTATTTTCTCCTTAAAACTAGTTTCCCAAAGGCTGACCCAGAAATGCGGTTTGAAACAGCCCTCGGTTTGCTACGTCACAATCCAATAACCAATCACGTCAAGGGATCGATTCCTATCACATAGCATGCAAAATATACCAATACCAGCACAAAACCA